GGGGGGGAAGCCATCTCCACTAAATTATATGTACATTAAGTCCCAGACCCTGGTGAAACTTTCTGGTAACAATTATATTGACCAAGTAATGAGACGTCATCTTGAGACAATGCTAATCTACCAGAACTCAGGTAGTGTTGAGCAGCTCGTGCCCTGCAATTCTCAATTTGGATAGAAAAAATAAACATGTCATTAGCAATGCTGAATTTTTTTTTTTTTTTTGAGCGATGTTGAGAAATGCACAAACTGCATTTTGGTGGGACATGAACCATACCTTCTCTGTTTTCTCCTGCCGATGCTTTCCGATAACCGGGTGGTTCCAAATCTAGAAATTTGGCTCAATGAAGACAGATATTCGTGAAATGAATCACCTTTCAGTGCAATGTGTGAGCGCAAGGGAACAACAGATTGAAGTAAGTTGTATGCATTCAGATCCGCTTTGCTGAGACACAGGAACAATACAAGGCAACTTAGAAATATCTCAGTAATTATCAAGAGCTAAATTAAAAACGAAGTCCTAACAAGAAGTCACAACAGTTGCATGTATTGGCCAATCTTAGAGATTTTGGGCAAATCATAGAAATGAATAAATTCAAAGAATGGACAGGGAACAGTTAGTAGTGGTATAAAACCAACATTTAAAAACTGTATAAAACCTACTGACGTGGAAATCTTTCCTGGTACAAACAAGCAATGGCCTATCGGCTATCAGAATATCCAATCTTTAGATTTCATAAAAATGTCCATTCTTCTGTGAAAGAAAATATTTGCAGTTTAATAAGCTGCCATACAGAACCTCTGGAGTCGACAATTTCAGCTCACGATCTTTCACTCAACTCGTTTAATTTCCCTCACAGAAACCCCCGTCCATTCTTTTCTGAGGTTTAATCTTCTATGATCTTTCACCAATTCCCAACCAGAGAAAGCAGAAGTCCTTGCAAGTATATAGTTCTCTAATTCTTATCATCCTTTTTGAGTGGTTTGTACATGTTTCATCCTGTACTCTCTTTCTAAACAGTTTACCGCTCTACGGTAATAGATTGAATATCTGTGAATATAAATCCCAAGCTGAACATGTCTAAGCAGTGACAAGCAATAGACACATCTAAAGTTAGAGAGCCAACTTGATTTAATATGCAATTTACTGGAAGATACACAACTACTTATGGGGACAAGTTATTATAAGCAAAAAGTGTAACAGAAGCATATGGTCCTATACCTTCTGAAGGAATGACAGGTTCTCGGTAGCCTTAAATGCAAACCCTCATGTTTTCTCCTACTCTGTCCAACCATCTTTCCCAGAGCCATTGTACTGTTTGTGGATGTCAACATCTCCCAGGCCAAATCCACCTCATATACAGATGCAGTGTTCGGTCCGAGAGAAGCAATTTCTTTAGCAAAAAGGCAAACTCCGTGTTGAGCAAAAATTGATGACATCTGCAACTGGTCATCATGCCAGTTATACGAATGTGATTCTTCGATAGGGATCATTGAAGGCTCCAACGAATCCTGGATGAGTACTTACAAGCATCAAAAACTGCACATGCAGTAACACAAAGGTAATATATGTATCTAACAAACTACTTACGTAGAGGAGGTGTTTGCAGTCAGCAAGTAATAAATCAGCCACTGAAATTAAATCACTCATTTCATGAGCAACATTGAGAATTTGAGAAGCTTCTTTCTGCTCTGGGGTAATATACTGTCTCAGATCCAGGTAACCTTCACGAAGTCTCTTCCAAGTATCTTGTACAGAAGTATTCAGGTTAAACTCCACAGTAGTCTTAAAGGATGTAGAACTTTTAATGAAGTCCATGCGGCTACACTCATCCAACACCCGATATCCACTTGGAACATCCTCCATGCATTGTCCATTAAAATGCTCCACGACCTCTCCAGGAATTGATTTCGTTATTCTATCAGAACTACAACCCTGCAATTCCTGATACTCAGAAGATAAAAGAATATTTTCATCAAGTTTCTCAACCTTGAGAGAATACATACTTGGAAGGGACAGATTGCTACAATAATTTGCCTCAACTTTGACATCAACATCATTATATGACTCTGTACTTGAAATTAATTCTGAATCAATAGTAAGCTGAGTCTCAGGGATGAATGATGACTCTGGCACACAGGAAACATTCACTGACTTGCTTACAACATTCACAGTAGAATAATCAGCTGTCTCCAAATAATTTCTTTTCAACCTCTTTGCTTTGAAATGAAAATTCTCTGTTGGTAAACTGCAGGAGATTTCAGTGGCTGAAAAATGGGAGGGTGAACTGCATGCTGTTTCAATCTCTTCATTTCCGATCTCAGGTTGATCTAACGATACGGGAACTCTGCTGCATTCTTCTTCTGAATCTGAAGACATAACTCTATCAAGTTTTCTCAGTGTATTTCTTCGAGTGAATGCAATCGGTGATTCAGAGGCATCAGAAAATTCTGAGTTAGTACCAAACAAAGTACATTCGTTATGATCCTGAAATGAGTAGAGCAAGGTCAACATTGCGTCCTTTTTTCCATCAACATTGTTAGCACCCATATCAAGATCCCTAGAATTGTTCTCTTCTGTAATATTGTTTAGCTCGACTTCTTCTGCTTCCTCATTTGTACAGTATCTTTCTTCATCTACCCTCATCGACTTAGTTATCTCTTCATCCACAAGTTCCGATAGCGGAGAAGCGAAATCCCAAGGGATAATTTTCGGTAGTAGCAGATGACCAGCTTCTAGATCAAACTGAAGAGGACTATATCTTAGCTGCAGGTCATTATCTGGCCGTAGTATAAAAATAAAAAAACAGCACCAGATTAAATGGGTTAAACGAAACTTTACTGTGAAGAAAACATAGTGTGTAGATACAATTTAGTCATAATTTCACCATCACCATGAAGGATGAGAACTGTTCAGATAAGGATAGAGCTTGTTCCTGCATCCTGATTTCTTTTTACCATCACTTTTATGTGTACCGAACCATTAGATTTTGGCAATTGATACTATGAGAGGATTTAAACTAACTTTTCTCTTCCAGCTAGTTTTCAAGGTAAGTTTCTTTATGGGTTGAATCCTAATTCTTAGTTCGATAATTTTGCTTGTTATTTGAGCTTCAAGCAAAGATTTGGGTCCTATACTCAAGTTTGTGTTTGAGAAAAAAGGTCCTTTTTTTCCGAGATTCTATCTCTATATTTCTATCTTGTTTTGCCCCCTCATATCTACACCATTGCCATTACTCATTTGTCATTGCATTCAAGATATCTAAGATTTCATGAATAACAAAAGGCTTGAAGCTTTGATTGGTCAAAATTTAATCTTAAGCAAGGTCCTAAATAAATGACATGATAAATTGATAATCTCTATGTCAACCTGCTCTATATGCAAATAGAGGTTATCAATGATTTCGTCATTGCCAGTAAGATGTATGCACTGGATTTAGAGGATTGATTTTTACAAAATAACATGAAGCTTCAGAATTTTTGCTTGATGAACTTTCTCAATTAGCATCCTCTTTAGCAATGGTACAAGAATTATTCATGCAATCAACTATCCTGAAGCATGCATTAATCCTTGATATTTGGTGAATTACCTTTCTTCAAAGTTTGGCCTTGACACCAAAACTGGAGATACATAATAGTTTTACGAATATCTCCATGGCAATAATTGACAAACCCCTCTACCAGCATTGGGTGAATTTTAACTTGTTCTCTAGCACAAACCTACGGGAATGTCTTTGATTAGCCAAATAAAGATAGATATCAGCGCAAAACTAGCAAAAAGTAACTGTACCATGTGTGCAAGTTCAAGGAGCTCCTTCAAAGATGGCAGCGCAAAGCACACCTGTAGCCTATCTAAATTGTTTGGGAGCACCGGATTGTCACCTACTCACATCGAAGAATAATACTTAATTTGTGAAACATAAGCTTGACAAATTATGGTATTTCAACCATTTAACCCCCTTACTATTGCTAGTTAATATCATGGGCCGCTTTGCGGTCTCCGCAAGTTGTTGAATGGTAGAGACAAAACCACGGTCTTCACAGAGAGCGGTATCCACGTCCTCAAAAAGGATTAGAGTCTTAGTTTCACCCTGATGATTAGGGGTTATCTCCTCCCTCCAGACTTGTTTCCTTTGCACTCCACAGGCAGTTGGAGCATTTTCCTCATCAGACAAAGGTATCACTTCAATAACTCCACCACCAGACACTAGTTTGTCCTCCACATACGCTGGATCTTTTTGAATCCTGAAACAATAATCGAACAGACAACATGGAAATAGTGGATGTCAAGTTATTATAGATTCAAGATTCATTGTAGAGATAAATTGGCTTAAATGAAGCAAAATCCCATCATGGAAAAAAGAAACAAATAGATAGGCTACTTTGCAAGATTTTCACCCATTTTTTCTGTGAGCAGCAAATTTCTATATGAAAATAGGTAACGAAGATAAACATTCATTGAGTAATTCAACTAGCTTTTCTACAAACAAGCATGGCACATCAAGAAAATGGTCAACAAACATGCTGAGAGGCTACTAAAAGGCCTAAGTTCTTCCCTCCCAAATCTGACTAATGAAATGTTTTTGCTAAAGGAAGACCAATCTAAGAATTGTGTGCCAGCATGCATTACTTGGTTGTTTAAGAATTCTAGATGAATGTTAAATTATGCTTTTACTTATACAAATTTAAGATGGCCAGAACTAAATGTGAAAAGTAAAACAATAAAGTACCCAAAAGAAAAAACATGAACCATCACAGAGAAGTGTTTTATCTTTAAATGCAAATACTTGAACTGTATACCAAACTACAAGGTACAGTACACCCCAAAGGAAAAAGGATACAGTTAGTGTTCCAATTATTTACATTTTATATCTTAAATTTGGAGGTGTGAGAGGTTGGCCATGGCAAGTTTGAGAAGAGATCGAGGTAGGCCTAAGAAGTATTGGGGAGAGGTGATTAGACAGGACATGACGCTGCTTCAACTCACTAAGGGCATGACCCTTGATAGGAGGGTGTGGAGGTCGAGGATTAGGGTTGAAGGTTAGTGGGTAGTTTTTTAGTTCCTCGCCGGTATTCTTGGTAGCACGCATGCCCCTTCATATTCTTAGATTTTTATTGCGTTATGTAGTTTTTGTTCGCCTCAGGTATTGTATTCCCCGTTGATATTTTTTGGTACTACTTAACCTTTATCTCCCTCTTTTTCTTCTCTCTTCCTTCTCTCTTCCTTTCTTGCTTTTCTTCTTCTTCTTCTCACCCTTTCCGAGCTGAGGGTCTATTGGAAACAGCCTCTCTACCTGCATTGGGTAGAGGTAAGGTCTGCGTACAGACTACCCTCCCCAGACCCCACCTGTTGGGAACATACTGGGTTTGTTGTTGTTGTTGTATCTTAAATTTTTTTTGTTATGAATAAGTCCCCAAAAAAACAAAAGGAACAATCATATATCTAATAAAATTTTATCACAAAATAAATCCAAAAACAAAAGAAAACTAGCATCCAGACATAAACGAACCTTTGAAGCCAGTGGGATTCTACAGCCTCCCCAAATTTCTGTTTTACAAGAGCACCGTTTCGCCAATCTGAAGAATTGACCTAGCAAGACAATACACCAAAAGATTAGTTAAGTAGATGCTTGATAACTTTAAGAAGTTTTATTTCTCATTTTTAAGAGTTTGGTTTGAACACGTCTAAAAATCTAATCTTTAAAATGCTCCTTGATATATACTGCTTATGCTACATGTCGATGGAAGCTAGCTAGGAACAACATGCATCTACATAGTGCAAAGCGCAATTTAAGGTTCATAACATAGTGAATTTTCACCATAATTACCTCAATAACTTGAAATCCCTGTTCTTTAGCACAGGCATAAATTGCAGCCGACTTCCCACTCTGCATAATATTAGTTAGCACATAAAATCAGCAATAGAAGCTACTTCAAAACATACTAAAGCAGGTCTGATTAAGCCTAACATAACAATATTAATTGAACTATGGCAGAAGAAACTGCAGCAGTGATTTGTGTGTAACTTCCAGGATTAGCCATGTACATTCTTATGGCTGTAAATTCATGGAAAATTCTGGTTTTCTACAATGGCAGAAAAATCAGATTTTGGGAGGATGCATGGTTGGGTCACACACCTCTCAAATATCTATTTCACAATATTTACGGCATTTCCTCTCTTCATAATCCTCTCAAAGGTTTGTGTTCAAATTCACAAGTCTAGTTTTATTGCACTTCAATAAGGAGAGATTATAGAATATATATTCAATTATAAAATAATTGCCAACATTATTGCCTCGAGACTGATTATCTACCATAGTCTATACAGTAAAGACTCCTATATAAGACACCCTCTTGTACACAAGATGTATTCTCTCCTCTTTTCACATGGTATCATAGCCTTCACAATTTTATTATAGACTTCAGTACTTCCCGCCTACTGGCGAGCCCTCATACGCCTGCCTGCCTGCCTAAACTTTTTTTTTCCTTTCCAGCAACCATTCTAGCAGCACCATTTTACTTTTCAATGACCATTTCGTTGACACCATGCCTCTTTTCTGCGAATAATGGGAATCAATGTGCCTTGTTTGCGATCATTTAATGGCACCTATGACTGTCTGGTGGCCCCGCATCTCTTTCCCAGTAACAGCTTTGATGATATTGCATCTCTTTTTCAAAGATCATCCACTCTCTTTCGACTACTCTTTTGGTCCTTTTATTTAGTGACATTTCAAGCAAAACGTTTTCTAAAACTTCATCTTCTTTTTTTCATGGTACAAAAATCTGGGAATTGCATTTCTATACTAACACTAAATTTCATGTCAGTATTCTGAATGATTCTTCTCTTCTTTTTTATGGTAGAAAAATCTTCTACTCTTTCTTCATGATACCAAAGTTCGAGAACTGAAACTCTTCTTTGATTATATAATTTCCAGTAATTATTTCAAAAACAACTTGTCTTATTCTCTGCCTCATAGATTCATGGTAGCACCATTACCCAATTGGTTGTCTCATGGCAGTGACAAGGCAATGAAAGGTGTTCCTTTATATTCAACCTTTTCTTATAAGTAAGGTACTTTACGAATGAAAACCAGCATCAAGTGATTGCTGGTGTATAGAGACAGTTACAACCAAAACAAGTGTCCTTACTGACTGTGAAGAGAGCAAATAAAATTGAGCATGACCTCTACATCCTGTGTATCATGTGCATCTGCCATATTGCTCCAAAAAGAGAACATTGAAATGAAAATAAGCTTAAGAGTCCTTTATAGTCAACTTGACTTTGAAGTTTGATTTGCAAATCCAAGTATCTTCATCACTTTGAGTTTGAGAGGCCACTGAAATTCCAGGAGAATTATGAAGTTGTATCTCTAAATTCAGAACATGTTTAGATTCTTTAATTTGAGTATATAGGATATTATAAAATATCCTATAAGATACCACAACTTATTTTGTATTAGTTATCGAATAATCACCTATCTTATTAGGCATAAAGAGTAACTATGAACAACACTGTAAGTAGCCCATAGGCCCTATTCTCCTATATAATGAGCCCATTTTGTAACATTGTTAATCATCATTTCAACATGTTCTTCATTTTTTTCTCAGAGCAATCATAGAAAGGAAGATAGATAGAAGTAAAAAAAACGAACATGATACCTTTTTTCTTTCAACCCCCACCACCCAAAAGGTTGGGGGACTTTAAAATTTGTGATCATGACCTGATTATGCGTAATATATGAAGCACATTTATTCAAGGCTAAGTTTCATTCTAGCATAAAAGAACACTGTTGTAGCAAGAATTGAGATTTGGCAGAACATAAGTTCTTTGCTCTAGGGTACATAATACAAAGTGCAACCCTGGAAATATTTTCACTAAATGGAACGGAAAAAGCAATAAAAATTTCAGTTCACTGTGTTTATCAAATGAACAGATTCACAACTTTTTGACATATATAATGCTTAACACATGTATTGCCGTGAATATGAACTCGTAAATGTAAAAATCAGATATAAAAGACGGCATAAATTTTAAATAGTATTATTATTGCTTTCTAAAACATGCCAAAGCAATTATCTGCATAAATCAGACTCTCTTTCTTCTTTCTTTCATTTTTTTTTTTTGATAAGGTAAATTGTATTAATCAAAAGGGAGAGAACTCCCGTATACAGGAAGTATACTAAAAAGTAGAGTATTTACATCAGAACATAATTCTCTACAAAAGACGCCCAATCTTCTATACAAGTAGGGGCTATATGAGTGCACCAAAAAGCGATCAAAGATAAAAGACTATTCTTAAGATGTTAAAAAGGAGACTCAATCCCCTCAAAAGCTCTCCTATTTCTCTCCCCCCAAACTATCCACATGAGAGCTAACGAGGCAAACTTCCACGCCTTTTGCTTTCTTCTTCGATGGAGATCGGCCCAACTATATAACATTTCCTTTACAGTGCTTGGCATCACCCAATGAACACCAAAAAGATTCAGGATTGCCCTCCACAAAGCCGAGGACACAGGGCAATGCAAAAAGATGATCAACTTCTTCCCCTGAGCTTTTACACATATAGTACCAACTAACAAGTGTAATTCCTCTCTTTCGCAGATTTTCAGCAGTCAAAATCACTCCATCGCTGCTAGCCATGCAAAAAAGCACACCTTCGTAGGCGCCTTAGGAATCCAAATCGAGGAGTTTGAAAAAGTGGCCTCCTCTCTCACCAACATACTCTGGTAAAAGGACTTTACGGTGAACAAACCATCGCCATGCAAACCCCATCTCCAAGAATCACAAGATGGCTGGGGCCTGTCTTGCCCATATAGCAGTGACAACAAATCTTGGAGCTCCGCAATCTCCCAATCTTGCATGTTCCTTCTAAATGAGAGGTCTCATACTACCCCCCCCCCCCCCCCTCTTTCATGCTCCTTATGAATCTTTTGGACCATCAATTCCTTCTGGTTTGAGACTCTGAAGACGTGGGGGAAGGAGACCCTCAGAGTATCCTCTCCACACCACCTATGATTCCAAAAGCTGATTCTCATTCCATCTCCCACCCTGTAAGTGATGTTGCCAGTTGCCACTGTAGGCTTCCCAATTCTTCATGATGCTCCTCCACATGCCACACCCGAAAGGTGCTGTGATTGCCTTGGTCCTCCAACCCCCTCCCGTGGAATCGTACTTCTCTACTATGACCTCCCTCCATAGAGCATGCTCTTCTACCCCGAATCTCCACAGCCACTTCCCCAACAAAGCTATGTTGAACACCCTAAGATCTTTTACTCCAAGTCCACCCCACTTCTTTGGGGAAGTGACTGTCTGCCAATTCACTAAATGAAACTTTCTAGTTCCATCCGCCACATCCCAAAGAAAATTCTTTTGAAGCCGCTTCAGTTTTTCTGTGAGCTTGCAACATGGACAAGCATACTCGATAAAGTGCTTTTAATAAGCACTTCCTTACCGCCTTTTGACAAGTACCATTTCTGCCAGCCTGCTAATCTTTTTTCAACCCTTTCGATCACTGGATTCCAAACCGTAGTATCCTTATACGAAGCGCCCAAAGGGAGACCCAGGTAAGTAGTGGGAAGGGAGCCCACCTTACATCTGAGAACATAAGACAAAGCATCAATGCTAGTAACCTCACCCACCGGGGAGATCTCACACTTGCCGAGGTTGATTTTGAATCCTGATACTATCTGAAACCACTTCAAGATCTGCTTCAGGTAGGTCAACTGATCCATATCGGCATCACAGAAAACTAGGGTGTCATCCGCAAAGAGCAAATGAGAGACTCTTCGGGCACTGAGCACCCCGATCGGAGCTGAGAATCCTCTCAAGAAGCAACCGCCCGCCCCACGATCCATCATTTTACTCAGAGCATCCATCACTAGAATGAATAGCATGGAGGATAGGGGGTCACCTTGCCTGAGACCCCTGGAGCTGCCAAAGAAACCACACGGGCTACCATTAACCAGGACAGAGAATCTGACTGAGGAAATGCAGAACTTGATCCATCCCCTCCATCTTGCCCAAAACCCCATCCGCATCATAATGAAATCCAGGAACTCCCAATTGACATGGTCGAAAGCCTTCTCAAGGTCCAACTTGCATAGTAAGCAAGGTTCTTTATTTTTCCTTCTGGAGTCTACAAGTTCATTTGCCACGAAAGCAGCATCCAGGATCTGCCTACCTTCCACAAACGCATTCTGGGATGACGAAACAGACACGTCAAGAACCTTCTTGAGTCTGTTGGAAAGCACTTTAGAAACTTGTAAATTCTCCCCACGAGACTAATAGGCATGTAGTCTCTGATACAAGATGCACCTTCTTTCTTAGGCACAATAGTAATAAAAGAAGCATTGATGCTTCTCTCAAAAACACCATTCACATGGAAGTATTCAATGGCTTCCATCAACTCCCCCTTGATGGTGTCCCAGCAGAGCTAGAAGAAGGCCGGAGAAACCATCAGGCCCGGGTGCCTTATCACCAGCACAACTCGACACAGCCTCGTGCACCTCCTCCTCCTCAAAAGCCCCTCTTTCTTTCATAAATCAGACATTTTAATTGACTTCTACTGAAATGCCAAATGGACAGGGAAAAGAAAAGTAGACATTCCTTTTTTCTTCGGAGATGAAAAGTAGACATTTCTTTTTCTTTGGAAAGGGAAGGTAGACATTTCTTTCTTCTTTGTTAAGGAAAAGTGGAGATTGCTAAAAGTCAATCAAGGTGAAACCTGAACTATTGCTCCGCTAACCAGAAAAAGAAAAAGAAATGACTAATGGTTGGCCTGATTGATGGATTTTGGACAAATTGATAATTTTAATTCTTTTGATGAAGATGATATTTCAAATCTTAGCAATTAGTTTATTTATTAGAAAAGAAAAAGAAAGAAGGAAACTAACAATCCCTTAAAGTAAACCCAAGCTAGTGCAATGTATTTCTACTTACTTATGAAAGAACCCATGGATTTGTTTCACAATATACTTCACAACCATGGGTTGTTGTTTCATAAGCACATAGATATATAAATTCTCGGTAAGATATAACACATGGGATTAAGCTATCGACCAGAAATGGGATCATACAGATGGAGAGAGAGATTGGGAACTCCAGGAACATGCAAAGGCTTCTTGTAATAGGAGAGCAGAAACTAGCTACATACCCCAACTGGTCCAGATACCAAGAGGACATTCTTCAGCTGTTCTTCATTTGTAGAGTCGGCTTCACTTTCATACAGGCTGTCAAAGGAGTCTTGAGTAACTCTATCACTAAGAATGCATGGTTTGCTTGTGCGAGAAGCTTTTTCATGCCAAAGATGCAGCCAATCACTTAAAAGTTTCACTGGCTCGCTATTACCACATACCTGCATACAAGATGTTGGAGAACATTTATCATACTGCTTATGGAAGAAATGTCAACATATGAGTGAATAAACATCTTTTTTAAGACTTGTCTTCACCAACATAGACAGATAAATATTAACAGTGGCGGTATCAAAAATGAGATATTCACCTGAAAAGCTCTCTCAGGCTGATATTTGTTTGTCCATAGACAACTTTTGGGCCGAGTGGGACTGATCTGGTAGTCAGATACTATCCTGAACATGAAAAAATAGTTAAAAGTAAATCAGCAATACATAAAAAAGGCAGCACCCATAATACATGAGTTGAGCTTAATGGAGAAGTGATGATTCATATAGCCGATCCCAACTTGGTGAGACGTAGTTGTTGTAAGGAGCAACACATATTTCAAGTCAACAAGAAGCAAAAGTTTCTTTTATCCTGTATTCTAGGAATAAACTATGATGTGCACACATTCATAATTTCAGAATGTGATGGGAACAACCTGGATTGCACACACTGTATCAGCTTGCAATATAAGAAAGCTCGTTTTATTAATTCTCATTGTTTTGGACCTTTTGGTAAGGTCTAACAGGACCGCTTGCACAGAGTAGCATAATTTTAACAAGCTTCAGAACTGTTTGCTCCATCAAGATCATAAACATCCTCACCTTTCTTGAAAAAATCTACCTTGCTTCTTGGCATCTGAACTGAGGTTATTTTGGGGGGAGTCAACTGTGTCCACTACATTTGCCTACAATTATCAAAACCACAAGCATTATCGGATGATCAGACAAAAAGATATGAAACGTAAAGACTCTCATAAATTGACTAGAATATCAAGCCTTTTACTTCTTTCTGTATCTCTGAAAGCAGGATTGTACATGACGCAATAAGTCAACCAAAATACCCAGTTAGAAAATAATTACCAACTCAAAATTATAATCCTCACTAAAAAAAGTATATTGTCCACACTTTGGGGCATAGTCAATATGGGCAGCAAACAGTATAAATTCAAACAAGGCTATGGCAGAACTTACAACTTCTGCCTTCTTTAGCTGCTCACAGTGGCTGACTTGTTCCTCAGCAACTACGGATAATGCTGCAGGATATAATTTTGTTTCTCTAGAAGAATGATCAGAAACCACTTCATCTTGTGAAATAGTAGGCTGATTCAATTCAATCTTGTTTTGCTGTGACAATGTTTTCTTCGGATAAGAGATGCAAGAAAAGTTATCAAATTGCAGCAAGGTGAAGGAACCTTCAGAGAATGAAGAGCTTCCACATTCTAGCACAACATCATTATCGAGAAAAGAAGCTTCAGAAAAGATCCAGTGACCCCAATCAAAGGCAGTTTCATCCTCCTGCAAAGGGAATTCTTATATTTCATCCAAGCAAAAGAACTGGACAAAGTTATCACAGGAGTAGCATAGGAGACAGCCATGTACATACTATGTATAGAATTGAGAAAGTACACCGTACCGTAACTATTTCAAATACATGAATAGGGCTGAAAGAAAGGCTTTTCCCCTCCTCAGAAGAGTACCAGTTACTCTCCACATCAATAACTTCTTGGCTTTTCTTACCCATTTTGCAGGATTGAAAAAAAGGATGTATTTGTTTTCCTGCATATCTGCGGGAATCCTCCTGGTGAAAGTAAAGAAAGTTATAAATAACCAAAACAGAACTGTAGCTTCAGTTGTGTGATACTAGGAAAATGAAATGGACCATATTCTGCAAAATCTAGAAGAAAGAAACATCAGGAAAAACTTTGCAGATATCACACAAAAATCAAAGAAAAACATTTACAAGAAGCATAACAGGATCCAGCATTAAGTGCTAAAATGAAAAATCTGAAGGATCAGAATCATCATAACTCAACCACAAAGAAGATCCTGCTTTTATTCGCAGAAGAAATGAAAAGAATGAGAATGTTCTAACTTAAACAAGGTGATGCACATTTGATAAATAAATAAAAATAAAAAGTTCAACTAACCTCAGCTGTCTTTCTAGCCTCCATTCGGAGATCAGGCATCGAGTGTAACATTGATTCATCTTGCATAAGGTTACGTGGAACCAAACATGTTTCCATTGATCCACTGATCAGCACTTCTTCTCTTCCCGTGACATCCAATTGGCATTTCTTTGGTGTTGAGCTAGCAAGCTTCTTCTTCGACCGAGGAGTCTTCTTATCTTCCAAACAGTGTTCAATCAGAAGCAATAAATTGCCAACAACAGTTATAGCATGCAAATTTGGTTTCCAAATTCAAACTTCGTTGGACAAGAGAATCTTAACATCTGAGGACAAAACCTCTGAACAATGAGAATTGCAGCATCAAGAGTGCATGCAACTTTCTAAAGGACTTCCATTGCATAATCTATCTCGTACCCCTTTTTAAAAATTTTAGACACAAGATATGCTAAAGTTTCCCTCTGCAATATATGATGCCTTAGTTTTTGTTCCTTAATCAAAAATATGATGCCCTATAGTTGAGTGAAAAATAATTAAAAACATGGATAGCCAGGAAAAAGGACAAAGCATACTTGCAGGAGGTGAGCAAGATTTTAGGAGTTTTTCAGGTGATCCAATGTTTAGCTGCTCATGTCTCTGTCTCTTCTGATTCTTTCTCTCTGAAATCTTTAGAAAGAAATCCGTTTCTGGAGAAAACATCAAAAGAAGCATAAATAAGAAACAAAATCTGTCATTCTGTTTGGTTAATTAGAAAGACATTTATCGTTCTTTCACTTTCAGCATTCAATAATTCACATAGGAGAAATGTTTTCTTTCTTTCCCCATAGATTATCCTTAATCCTCTCTCCCCTTACAGGCCCCACCTTTATTGTCAGTATGGACAATGCAAAGAACATCTTTTTAAGTAATTCACTTACTGATAGTAACTGGAGAATCTCCATCAGGAATTTCCTTGCTTGAAGTTTCTTTACCACTTAGAGCAACCTGAATATTAAAGCAAGCAAATAAAATCAGAGATACAGTGTTGTTCAGTCCTTTCTCTGCTATTTCTAAGCAAGGTTTTACTCTTCTCTCTACATAATTGGATAATCAAAAAAATCTGATATTAGGTAGATGCAGAGAAGGGAAAGCAGACGGTAGGAGACCAGTGTAGGCACAAAAAAATGGACAAGGCAGAGAAGGGGAGAAAATACAAATTGTCAGTGCAACCAAGGGTATGGCCTAGTGATTGAAGAAGCTAGGGTGAATCAAAAAATCTGCCTAGCCTTGATTGACAGAGTTTCTGCAGGACCTGCATCGGTGGAAGGATGTAAGTACCCAGTGAAATAGTTAAGTATGTACACGAGCTAGCCCCAACACTACCGTGGTTATCAAAAAAGGATACAGAATTCTATGCTTTTGAATATAACAATGGTGGGTTTGGAGGATTTTGGAGCAGACTATCACTTCTTTAGAAGTACCCTCAGAACCGGGAGGCATTGAACTAACCAAGTTGAACCCAGTGGTTTTTCTATTCCCAATCCAAAACCAGGGCCACACTCAAGCTAGATACAAGAGATAATTCGTCTTTCTTAACTTTATTATTGTTATTATTATTGACATCACGAAATTTTGAAGCTAATTCATTCAAATTATAGCCCGTTTGGCCAAGCTTCTTTTTGGCCAAAAGCACTTCTGGCAAAAAATTGAGGTGTTTGGCCAAGCTTTTGGAAGGGAAAGAATGCTTTAGAAAAATACACTTAAAGCAGTTTCTTAAAGCTTGGCCAAACAATAATTGATGCTCAGAAGTGTTTTTCAAACTAATTAGTCAAACACAAACTGCTTCTCACCGAAAGTACTTTTGGTAAAAGCACTTTAAAAAAAAAGTACTTATCAAAATAAGTTGATTTTTGAAGCTTGGCCAAACGGGCTATTAGTCAGATTAAACACAATTGTTGTAAAATCAGCTCAAGCGCTTTAGATAATAAACTAACAACAAAATTAACCTTCTTAGAAGCTCGCGAGTGACTTTGCGGTGTTGTTGTCTTGGAATTTCTCTTCTTCTTCTTCTGCTTTCCTTTCGTCTTATTGCCATTTTCTTGGCTCTCACACCACTCTTCCTCCTCATCCTCTTCTTCTTCTTCAGCTCCTCCTTTAACTGGAATTTGCTTCCCACTGTTCGGAAACAGCGTCGCCTGGACTAACCTACGCCGGCTACGAAGTCCTTCGTCTACTAGTTCCTCCTCCATTGGATCAGCTCTCGTTAGGGTTTTTGCAAAATTAGGAGTTCCAATTAGCTTGATCAATGAAGAGGGCTCCCCAAAATTTCCCTCTTTGCTTTTCCTTTTTCCTTTTGTTGCTGGGCTGTGGAGCCCTCTTTGTGATATGAAAACAATGGATACGGTAACCGGTATAAACGGTAGTAGGTTACCTATGGTTGCTATTTCCCGCGATTTTGCTCGGCATTACGTTCAGATTTCCCGCGCGCAGTTGAATTGCATTAATCAATTTTGTTATGTATATTTGATTAAGAGCATTTTTGGAAATATTTGTCAATAGTTTGTTTATAGCTCTACTGTTTAACTTTAACAGAGCTATACTCACCAAAAAGTTTGATTAAATTACTTACAGAACATGAAATGGGATAATAAAATTTGCGTAGATCAAATACTTACTACGATTAATTTTTAATCATACCAAAAAAACACTATTAGTGAAACTATATTTTATATGTTGGAGACTTATTAGAACTACTAGTCATGGATCGCTCCTTCATATACAACAAAGCGAGAAAGATATGAGACACAATTATTCATCTTGCATGTATTTGAGCGGTGAAAGATAATTATTTGTACGAGAATTAATGCCTGAGCATTAAGTATGCAATGCATGGAACCAACTTGCGACAAAATTAATTTATGCTAGTGCAAATTGCCAAATATTCGGATGGCATAAAGGTAAAATGTCGCTACTCAAATAGGGATCCAAACTATTCCCGTATCATACGTGCGCATGTTATGCTAGCAATAATTGAGTCATAAGTAACACACAGTGCAAGCATCGATAACGACATATATCATATGCAACTGTTTCAATGATATACTGCAATATCACCATTAAGTGATTCCATGCAAACATATAAATCAAGAGCGACTTTTGTTACAACTCTTGTTTAAAAGTTGTTACTCATTCAAATTCAGCCATTAAATAATTAGATTTCTTCACCTAATATCACAAGAAGGAGGACATTGTTTTCACGTGGAATATATTTTCTTTTAGAACAAAACATAACACCCGAAGAATGGTATCAAATTAAGATATGAAATCCGACTACCTATTTTTAGAATAAACGTCCGAATAAAGGTTTTTGTATATATATAAAATCAAATGAAGGTTCATGACTATGTTTACAATGATAGAGTATGCATGTGATACTAGGGCTCTAGATTAAGTTACATTAAATTCATATTCGAGATAGATAATTTTTGAGAAGCTAAGGGTTGGCTAAAAAAGTTTTATGCGTATTAAGGAAGGTTATATTAGTATTGGTTTCTGGTACGGAACAACAAAAGATTGCAAGAACTGAATGCGAAAGTATGCAAAAACATTTTAAAAAAATTGTCATTGGCCTATGAACAAGAAGGATGAAAGTGAGTCAATATACTAATTCCTGATCCGCAAATCAGCATAAAAGTTACAAGGAATAGGCATTGTGTCGACATCGAACTCTAAGGTTTGGCTTTTCAATCAATCTTTTTAATTGTATTCTCGGTTGGTTCCCTTCGCCCGACCCCGGTGAGATCAGATTTCTATAATGGTGATTGGATACGGGCGAAATCCCCGCCAATGATTGAGGCATTCAGTCGACTAAATTTTATTGGAGATAATGCCGAGTGCTGGAATTCATGATTACGCAGGGAGGTAGACTTGATATTATTCATCATGTAATTTTTCCCTCTATGCCTTGAGCCGAGACCCAAAAAAGTTTATTAATCAACCACCTATTGATAAAGCAGGAAAAAAAACTACTAGCCTATTTATATTCTGAATTCAAGAAACAACTAAACACCCCCCTCTTGAATTCAATACAATAGGAGATGGCTCAGATGGTCAGCACCACCTCCCAATCTACAATCCCAGAGTTGTGGGTTCGAGTCAGCAAATGAACAATAGCTCAAACAAAGGGGAATCAAAGGGGAGGGGAGTCCTGTTACGCCCTGCAATATTACGTCAATATTACGTCCCGCTGTATTATATTATGATGATGTTACGCTTCGCAGTATTAAATTACGATGATGTTGCACCCTGTAGTATTGTACGTTGAATTTGTCATAAGGATTATTTGGAGATTATAAGGATTATGCTACTTTAAACAAATGATGAGTAAATTCGTGAAGGTGAGAGGGGAAGTAAGTCAAAGAAAATGAATTTTTCGTCCAAGTTCGACATATTGGGATAAAATACGGGCCGAGCGTTAGTACCCGACATTTATGAATTAGTGTCATACAAGGTACTACATGACCATGATAGGAAGGTGTATAAGGTATGTTAAAAGCGAGTACCATTTTAAATAAGTTGAGATAATTCTTAATTATGCGGGTAATTGGTTAATATATTGGATAAGAATTACATCCACCAACGTGTCTTCACATCAAAGCCAGCAAAGTCACAAAAATGTGACTCTTAAAGTCCACATATAGGTGGCACATTTAGAATATTAGTTGGCCAACTCATCCACAGAGTGGGGGGCCCACAAATCTCCAAGATAAAGAGATTATTAGACACAATTCAAGAGAACAAAGCTTATGGAGGGGGCTGCCGTGAAACCTTGCGACAATTAATAAGGTGATTGTTATCTTACTAGTGGTCACGGCAAAGAGGGCATAGGTGATTTAATTGCATGGAGCTTTGCACTTTCAAATATTCTTTCATGGTTATTTGGAGCTTTACTTGTGGAGCCAAAGATTTAGTAGTACAACAATGCGGATGAACATTATGACAAAGCGCGAAGCTACAACGAAAACCCATACGAGATTACGTAATGTTACAGCGACGGGATTTTGCGATTCTAAAGAAGTACGGTGCAATCTTTCTCAAGATTATCATATGAATTTTTCCTACTTCAATCCGCCGTTATGTGTTGTCGCAAGTGACGTGTGTTAGAGGTATTGTCAAGAGAATCGGCTCAGGTATGTTAAGGATATCCCTTCTTTCTTTTGGCATGATCCATACGACACAAACGAAACGTGCAAATGCACAATTTCCATACATGACTCTATTCATAAAAATATTAGAGATGCTTATGTTCTTGATTCCCCATGTGTCATATTATTCTATCATCTGTTCATAGGTCTCAGAAAAATACGTAAGTTGAAAAAAAAAAGTTTACTTCATGATACTACTAAAGGCATAATGATCTTATGACATTCCGAAAGATTTTATTGACGTACTTTTCATGCATTGCATTCATTTACGTTGAATCATGACCATATGGCGTCATATACGCATATATATGTATATTATATGTATATGGGATATGGAAAAAGGTTACGGCATTATATACGCACCACTACCTGATCAACTGGTACACGTTGATGATTTGCCCACAGTGGCCGAGATGATATGATGGGATGCCCTCAGAGGCTTGATGATGTTATGAACGCATATACCCATGCATGGTATGGTATTTATACGCATATGCACGATATTATAATATTAAATGATTCACGGAGTTATTCGGATATACATGTTGAGTCTTTTACTCCACGTTTCTCTCGTGTCTACTAGTTACTGATTTTCATTCCTTACATACTCGGTTCATTATTTGTACTGACGTCCCTTTTGCCTGGGGACGCTGCGTTTCATGCCCGCAGGTCCTGATAGACAGGTCGAGAGTCCTCCAAGCTATCAGCTCAGCGGAAGGTGTTGGTGCACTCCATTTGCTCCAGAGTTGCTTCTTTGGTCAGTATGATTAGTACAATGTATTGATTGGTATGGCGAGACCCTGTCTCGACCTTTATGATATTATGTATTCTTAGAGGCTTATAGACAGATGTCAGGTATATAGATATTGTATGGCCTTGTCGGCCTATGCTTCGAGTATACAAAAAAAAATCATGTCGGCCTTATAAGCCCGTACTTCATATGTATAAGTTTGTATTCCCTCATGCTTTACTCCGGTTCATTTACCTATGATAGAAATATGAAAGATACGTTATGTTGGTACTCGGTTAAGTAAGGTACCGGGTGCCCGTCACGGCCCATCGGCTTGGGTCGTGACAAAAGTGGAGCGGTTCTGTCCTAGAGAGTCTACAAGCCGTGTCTAGTAGAGTCTTGTTTATGGGTGTGTCGTGCACCACACTTATAAAGCAGGAGGCTACAGGGCATTTAAGACTAACACTCTTTCTTCTTACTCTAGATCGTGTGGTAGAGCTCACTTATAAGAATTAAAACTCCTAGCTTCTATTTTATTCGTAATATGATGATACCTCCAATTGGGTAGAGATTGAATGCGGCTATGGAAGAATTGAGTAAGAGGAACTCAATTTTGTGTGATGCTTATGATGAGTAAATGTAAGGTCTTCAGCAGATCATGTGTGTACCAAGATGTGTAAGCTTCTGGTTAAGGAGCCCTAAGGCATGAATATCTATCCACCCATATGGTGAAAAGCGACGAGAAAATCAGAAGTTACAAGTTTCAACAAGTAAAAGAAGCAAGGCGAAGAAGGGTACGAGGTACCCCGTTAGTAGAGATGAACATTATCTACAATTCAGGAAGAGAGAGAGAGAGAGAGAGATATAAGCATTTTGAGTTACCTTCAATAGTAACAGACGTATGCACAATTGGTCATACCCATTTCAGTTATGCCCTATGGGCGCTAGCAGGTGTATTTAAGAGAATGACAGGATATTAGGATCCGGCGGGGGTTAGGGTAACCCAAATTAGTGAATGGATTACTTGCGTTAGTTGACATTTCCGAAGAATATTGCGAATGTGCTAATAGAACTCCTTGTGAGATACCCAGATGGTGCACTCTAAAATAGTATAACTAGATATGAGTACTACAAAAGATAGGCACTGAAAGCCTGGAGGGGATAAATATTACCTTAGTGTGGCTCCTGTCCCTAGTAAATAAAGAACGTTAGGCAACCTGAAGAGCTAGTAGATGGAAAAAGGGGAGCTAAAAGTAAAAGAATATCTTGTTGGAGTTTTCAGAATAAAGTGATAGACATAGATGTTAACAGGGAAATAAGAAGAGAGTTAATGAAGCATTATGAGTAAGATGTGATACATGGATGATAACGGTAGATAAAAAAATGACAATATTACAGAGTCTATAGTCAAATGAAGGAAAATATTAGAG